GACCACGATTGTGCATGATTCGTGGTTGACTAGAAAATTCCTGGGCATGATCAAAATGAAGGTTAGGAAGGAAAAACCTTCTTGCGAATTTTGCCTTTGTGTTTCAGCAGTCTTTGGTGTTTGAAGTGCCTGGTTGTTAATGCGATACTTTATATTTTTTACTTGTCAAACGCATATACTTGTTATTTCTTAATCTGAATACTGAGCTTCTATATCCTTTTATTTTCCACTCTAAGGATCGTGCGTTCCAAGAGCTGTGCTTGATTCTGAACCCAATGCTTCAGGACACACCGTTGTGAGCCATCGTGGACTGGCACTCACTGGTTATACTAAGTAAGAACCAGCGGCCATGGTACTCCAGAACAAACAAAGCATGTATAGCTACTTCTTCATTTATCGGAGACTTTGAGGTTGCATTCTCTGCCTTGATTTGGCTAGGACCTCTGCGACGAGATCAACCGAAAGACTGAAGAAAAGAAAGCTCGCCACAGCAAGGTCTTGGGTGTTTACTTGATGTGGTTTAACATACTGCTTAAGAAACCTACAAGCTTACAACATGTCAGTGCCAAGTTACTATTACTTGCACGCATGGATGATTTTGGATGCCATACGCCCTATGACCCAAAGACCCCAAATCTTGCGCAATATAATTAATCTATCACCCAATTTTGTTCTTCAGATTCAACCGAATAAAAGTGGTTACGCAGGATAGCTTGGAAGATCACGATGATGACTACGACGACTCCCCGGAAGCCATGGAAGCCAATGAAGGATCCCCAGAACAGCGAGAGGAAGAACCAACCCCAGAGGTTCTTCAATCGCAGCTTTTGGAAATCCCAGACAGCCAGGTGCCACCACCGGCCCTCCCAGCTGCTTCTCCTGTCCCAGCTGAAGTAGAGGTTTCCTCTGCTCCTCCGGCTGCCGCTGCAGTTGATGGAAGTGATGCTCTAAGTTTGTGTAAAATTCATCTTTAACTGCAATACCACAGCATTGAAATCAACAATCGCGAAATGCATACCCAGGATTACTTTTCAACTCATGGGATTATTCATATGTTCTCTCAAATTTCACTGCGGTTAGGTGATGCCCAATCAATTGACGACAAGATTGCGGCTGCACGGAAACGGTTGGATGAGTCTGTTGCTTAGCCCCACCACTGTGGCTTTCAGTCGGTTTGCAAACGATAGGGACACTGCTCTCTGGTTTTGTTTAATCCACCGCTTCAAGATAAGCCAAACAAGTCTGAAAGACTTAAATTTAAGATGTTTAACAGTATTATGATATATATTATGTAGAAAGCGCAAGCCTGACGCCTGTTAGCCTAGGATCAGGGCCAAGAGGGCAAGCCAGGCAACAAAGGAAGCCAGCACACCCTCTACTACGACAGCATCTGGAGGTTAGACCTGGCTGTTGAGTTGATTTGAGTTCATATCAAACCAAATTGTCCTTAATTTTACTCATCAAAAACTTTAAGACTGACCCATAAAATGCACTAGCTCCTACTTTGGTCACTGGTTTCACGTAATACAAATCTGGTGTTGTTTCAGTTTTCTTTTGCTTTTCGTGTTTGGTTGGCAAAGTACCGCCAAAACTACCCAGGAGAAAGTCGCAATGTTTCTGGGATATCACCGGATGTTGTCGACACATTGCCTATGTCTACTGAGCATATCAATGCGATTGCCAATGACCTTGCTTCCCGACCTTCACCTGAACCCATCGCATCCCCAGAATTGACTTCTGAGCAGCGCCGTTTGAAATTCCAAGGAGCCGATCCAGTTGCCAAAGAACCAGAAGCCTGTCCTGCTGAGCCAGCTTCAGCTGCACAAGCTGAACCTGCAGAGGAAGTTGATGTCGGCCGTGGTATGGAGGATTTGGGTTTGGGGAAGTACTTTGTCTATATGCATGTAACAGGATATGATTTGCATTAAGAAAAATCATCAACAAAGGCTGCTTCAACAAGCTTGGGACAAGTTCTATACACTCTTCAAACGGTGTGCGCACATGAACTGCTTTTACATAAACGTATGTATAAGTTAATTCGTTAAAGTGCTAGCCCCTGTAGGAGGAAGATGCCGAGGATGAGTTTGTTACCAGGAATGACCAGCTCACAGCCAAGCACCAAAAGAAAGCTGACAACAAAGCAGGAAAGGGAAAAGGAAGGGGTCGAGGAAGGAGCCGAGGCAAAGGTGAAGGCAAGAAACGCAAAGGAGGAAAGGCCAAGAATACGGATGAGGAAGGATACTCAACCAAGAAAACAAAAGAAACAAAGGTCAGAAAGTCAAGGAAGAGAAACATGCTGTCAGCTGGCAGCTCGCCAGGGCCAAGCACAAGCAAGAAAAGCAAACGCAATGATGCGAAGTCTCAGGATTCCCAGGTGCCCAAGGCAACTCCCAAGGGTAAGGCCAAAACAGCCAAGGCAAAAGCAGAGGCAAAATCCAAGAGCAAGCCAGCCCCAAAGAAAGGTCGTGAGGCAGGTGCTAAGTCAAAGGCATCTCCCAAAGCCAAGGCTAAGGGAAAAGCAAAGGCCCAGCCCCGTAGCCGCAGCAAAAAAACAGGGCCCCACCTGATGGAAAGCGCATTGCACGATGATTCCCTTGTCAAGTCACTGATGGACCATGCCCGTCAGTTCGGGCCCGAGTTGGAACATGATACCGCAGCTTTGAAAGAAGCAGTAAAGGCTGTGCGTGTGCAGTTGGAATGGGCAAAGCTCATGCCCTACTGGAACCGCGGTGACTGTGGATTGAAAGTTTGGGATGAAGAGACTGAGTCCTTCAAAGGAAGGGATACTTTTTCCTTCCACGGCTCAAGTGCCCCCAATCGCTACAAGCTAGCCGTGGCAGTGCGCTGTGCTGAGATTGCCGTTACTTTCTTGCAACAGCAGTGATGATCCAAATAAACTGGTTTTCAAAATATTGCATGGATATCCATGGTTCCAAGTGACTAATCCTCAAAGCATTTCAAAGCTGTTGTACTTCTGTATTTTTAGGTTGTTCTTTGTCCCAAGTTGATTATAACTTGCCCAGCCCGGCACATATCAAAAACATGCTTTATAAGTTGTATATACAATGCTTTCAACCCTGGATTGTGGACTTGAACCTGTCTTATCGTATCAGTGTCATTTACATACAATAAAGCTACGGATATTGTACAAAAATAGTTTGCCCAATTTGGTTGGGCATGTTTGGGTCATCCCAGGCTGAGGGAATTGATGCAATGGCTGAAGGGTTCGAGAAGGATGGGGAACAGATCAGAATCCTCAAGCACAATGCGCAGCTCGCTTTGTTCTTCTTTGCCAACGGCATGGGCGAAGACGAGCCGTTCCAGGATTCCGATGAGAATGGTGGCAAGTGATGGATGTTGGTAAGTGATGTAAAATTTGGTGATAGAAGTCTTTGCAGCTTAGAGCCGAGTCAATTGGCTGCTGCTACTTAGGTTTTGATCTATGTGCGATATCAAATGCAGTTGGCGTGCGTATCGATCTCTGCTGGGGTTTGTACAGGATTCATGCCTTAGGCTTAGGTGTCAACGGCTGGACTCACTTGGACATACCATGTGCACGAAACTGGTATGTAGCCGAAGATTTGGATTAAGAAAAAAAAGCTCATTCCTAGTTTTTTCAACACTTTCTTTGAAGATCCAGCTCAGCATCGACACGTGGCATGTTTCTGTACCGCGGTTTGGTGCCAGAGAACTCATGTGGCTAGCTCGCTGACAGGAGTTGCGAAAAAGTGGTGGTGGTGGTTGGGTCATTGATCAATCCCTATATGCGCCTGGATCAGTCTTTGAAACCTGAAAGATATACTATGATATGTGAGGTAAGGTATGTTCCTTTTTTGGGAGGCTGTTGGACATAGAAATCTCGTTTGATGATTGCTGTATATATTCGCCTATATATGTAGTGAACTCCCAACAAGTTTATATACCCCAACAAATTTATATACCTTTGTGAAGATGGTGAAAAATAAGAGCAAAGATCGTGTTTGAAATCCATGATTTGAAACTGCATTTTTCCACTTCTGCGGTCAAATAGGTTTGTGATCTTGGGTTCAATAACTCACGGGATAGCCGAATGAACTTCTACACCCTGTTGCCCGGCTTGCCAGGCCTTGTGCCTTGCGACTGGTAGTGGATGCCCAGCCTGTGCAGAAACGTTTTCCGAGTGAGATCCAAGTTTGCCAAGAAACGACGACAAGCTGGCTTGATTAAACCATGATGCGAATGATCTTTTTATCAAACATGCTTTGCACTTCGTACTCTGGATTTCTCGATTGACACAAGAAATAGTACCATTGATAATCGCTGAATATGAATATCAAAACAGGTGATTGCACATGCTGTTGTTTATTTTTTGTCCCAACCATTGCATGGGCAGCGATCTCCCTGCAGCATTCCGTGGGTCAGACCAACCAGATTTAGGGTTCAGCTACCTGTTAGAAACCTTCGGTTCCATGCCTGGTGGAAACACCTTAGACCTGGATGCCCTGATGTACCGGCTGCTCCAAATGAGATGTCCAAAGGCTCGAGATTTTGAAGCCAATTTTGATTCTCATACTCTATATCTTCTTGATGCATATTTAGTCTGGAAATATCCAAGCTTGTTCTCCAGCATTCCCGAGCAACCGTTGTTCAGAAGTCTGCAGGTAATGGCCGCCATCATCCTCTGCGTCCTGTGGACCTCAACTTTTGACCATGCCGAGGATTGACGGGGTGGGCTAGATCGACGTAAAAGGGATACACACTCTATCCATTTCATAGTCAAAAAAGGGAGTCAGCATGAAAATGATAAGCCATTTTAATTGGAGCATTGTAACGTTTGGTCTTTCATATTTCCATACTTAAGGTATAGAACTGTATGTAGCGCATTTGTTGTCATGCCTGCTCAGACCTTCGACATGCTGGAGTTCTACGCTGGCAATGCCAACTTGTCACGATGTATGAAGGCCAGTGGACTTCGAACAGGGAGCTTGGATATAAAGTTCCAAAGGGAGGGAGCTCACCCACGATCCTCGAACCCCATGGACATCTTATCAACTTCGGGGTTTCTGTTCCTACGGTTCAATTTAAATTCAAAACTTTGCATGGTTCTTGTTTATTTCCCATTGACTGGCCCAAAAACACCCAAAGAAACAATAGTACCCAAAATCATGATTTATGATCATTGAAGAAAAACATCATCTCAGGGTGGCAGTGGCTTGCATTTTGAAATGCCGGCTGGATGGTTTCCTAGCCTTCTTCGCAATCAAATGTGCCAGCTGGACATCAATCAACGCTGGGACGAGTAACCGGTCTCCATGCGCAAGCATAGGCTTTGATGAATATGCCAGTGTTTCCTGCAGCAATGCAATGCTGGAAAGGACCCTGCTGACAAACAACTATATATGTTATCTTGAGGGAGGGCCCATCAATGATGATAGGGCATGGTAAAATATCAGTGGGATCACGCGTCCTTTTTTTCATATAAGAATCAAACAATCAGGAAATATTGCTTTGCAGATCGCATAGGTTGTAGTCAATGCTTAAGAACGGGTAACCATTGATTTTAAAGCTTTAAGGATGCCAGAATTTGAGCTATACATGCTTGTGGATTCTACAAAAATGATATGTTACAATGATGTTATTATGTTCTGGTGTGATTCAACTCGCGCCACGGCTCAGGACACTGTACTTGATGGTGCTGACAGTTTGCTTGGGAGGAACATGGGTGCTGGAACAGCCACGAAATAGCAATATGGAGTTTTACCCCTCCTTTGTGGAATTTCTCCGCCTATGCTATGTTTGTGGCAACAACAGCTCATCTGTAACTTCTGCAAAAAATATGCATTTCTTCCATGGTGTAGTTATAGTAGCAATAAGCATGTGTGCTAATCAACACATCTTTAGGGGTCGAATGCAGCCCTCGAACTTAGGTATTCCGGGTCGGATGGTGGATGGGTCACTACTCATCCGCTACACCTAAGCGCCATTTTGCCTACAGCAACAGCCCATGGATCAGACAGTTGGACAAAGGCACCCTTCAATGGAAACGAGGTAAGGGGCCTGCAACAGCTGTGACTTATCAGTCCAAGTCTGGCAAGAAATGCTATAAAGGCACAAAACATTTGAAGAAGACAGAGCTACTCGATAGCTATATTTTGGGTGGAGATTTTCTTTCTAATTTTCCAAATTGGGGGCCACCATTTTGACGGTTTCCTCAAATCAGGAGCTGCGAGTTGCTTTCTGGCATTTATATTTTGATATGATATGTGTCGATTGTACACTATATATAGTTGAGCGTCCACCGGAAACTTGTTCAATTCAAACCCATCATGGTCTTGATATCCCCCAAAAAGATGTAGCCAATAGCCACTTACCATTGGTTTTCGTCCATCCCTGTTTTGGATAGCATTCGAAATACTTTCCAGTTGGGGCACCACCAGAAGAATAAGAAGATATGATTCAATCCATGTTGGAGTTTGAGTTGGGAATTCAAATTTGGGACTATTTCAATTCGCATTTCTTGGATGGCCCCAAACTATTGGAATAGGCTCACCTCATCCAAATGCATACTAAGGGAATACACCATCAAATTTGGACGATGCCTGGTGGACCTCTTCGGAAACCTTGTCTCCACGGCGCATGGCCAGCCAAGTCTCCCACCAGCAGTTCCCGTGGCTCAGGCCTCCTTTGATGCTCTTCCAGATGCTGGCTTTGACCTTGGGTACGCCAGACTCTGGGAGGCGTACGGCTATATTCGCCGTGGAAAACACCTGGCCATTCCGGCCGAATGGAAAGAGCTGTTGCCAAAGCCTTTATGATGGAATTCCATCATTTAAGGTATAGATACCAAAGGTATTCTTCACAACATCTCAGAACCTGTCGTGGGTCAGTGATGGAACAAACCATGGACTGGATACTGTTTACCCACAAGAATGTTGACATATTCACAAGAACAAACCCTAAATCAGAAACGTACCGATTGAACATATGCAACAACATTTTGCATTGAGTGGGCATTAGCAGTATCCATTCCCAAAAGCATAGAAAGGAACTCATTTCTGGTTTTATCCCCAAACTTGTGGTGTTTTTAGCACTTCTAACGGTTTTTTTTCTGCACTTTTGTTGTTTTTTGTACTTTTTTGACGACTTTTCCCAGAACCCGTAGAAAACCCGTAGTAAACCGTAGAAAACCCATCCATAACCGTAAAACCCAGGGTTTTTGCAAAAACCCCGGCTTTTCTAACCCGTAGAAAACCCGTAGAAAACCCGTAGTAACCCGTAGAAACCCGTAAATTAAAGATGGGTTCTGAGGGCTTCCTGGAAGCTTTCCGGAAGATGCCTTTTTGTGGCTTTTTCTTAATTCAAACCGCGTTCACAAAACGTGGACAATTCAGCTTCGCTTCTCAATCCATATGTAGTGGGGAAAATCAATGCCTTCAAAATGATCAACTGTTTCGGGTATTTTGGGATTGAATTTTTGAGCATGTGTGGTGAAAACATATGAGGTATTTGACCAGCTGTGCCCTAGCATTTGGCAAACAAAGGTGAATAGTAGGACAGTTTTGCGCTGCCCAGCTAGTGATGGTCTCCCAATCTGTCTCGACTTCAAGCCGGGTATGGAGTTGCGCCACCTTTAAAGAGGGTGTTGACCAAGTTGCTTCCAGTGCCGAGCAACTTGAAGCTGAAGAACGTGAACTGGAGCAGCAGATTGAGGCCACGTCACTGCACGTATGTTTCCGACACCAGGTCAACATGTATATGGTTAAGCGATTGAAACAACTAAGATTTGTGACATTTTGTGACTATTTCTTTTTCCACCCAGGGACTCAGAAGTCATCAAGTTCGATACATTACTTCTTTCACCAGTGTCACTCCAACAATCTGATATAATTGTTTTCTGATTGTTTGGTATCTGGGTTACTTCCATACATAAGTCATGTGAACAACTTCTCTTTGTAGTTTGACAGCTCGCTGCAGGAGATGATGAAGCTCAAGCATGCCGACATGTCATCGATTGGTGCTGCCCCAGAACAGGCGGCTACTCTGATCCAATTTTAGAATGGGAAAGTAAACCAAGACCATAAACCATGCAGTAATCTAATCAAAAAAGACCAGATCCCATACTGTTGGATTGTCATACCTGGTCAATTCCAGGCTCCTGCGGATTCCAAGCCTGGTGGAGATTGTACGCCCTCTGTGCTCGAAGTTGCAGCCTCACCCACTGCGGAAACTCAGGAGGCTATGTGGGTAACTGCAGTACCTATTTCATTACTGCTATGCTTTTAATACCAAGAAAATTATGCGCTCAGAGTACTCAGTGGTTCTTACTAGATTGGTGGTTTACATTGTGTTACATGGTTTTGTTCAAGATCCAAATGTCTTTGCATGCAAACATATGCAAATAACACCCTCTTGGAGGCAACAGCAGATGAACTTCAAGCGATGAGGGAGCAATCCACTGCCCCGCCTCCCTTGGATGATGGCACCACTGATGAGCTGCCCTCGGCCAAGGCTGTGTCGTGAGTATGTATGGGGCATTTCTCATTATATATAGAATCAAACATGGGATATTTTATATATATAGCATTATATGGTTGTTGTTCTGTTGACACTTCTTTATGATTCACGCATGGAATGGGAAATGGGAAAGATCTTTAAGTATGAACCTCGCAGGAGCAGACTCCTGGAGATGATCGACCTGTACCTACCCCTGCGCGAACCGAAGCTGGCTCTTCTGTCATTGCCCAAGTGCTAGACATGAAACCCTTACTTCAAAAGCTGTTGGGTTTGTTTGGACCATGACATATGATGCTTCCCATATGATTGTGGCCCTACTTAGGTTGACAAGCAGTCGATGGCCCCACCGGCGCCCAAGCGTGAGAAACTGAAGACGCGACAGGAGCTCATGTGATTCAAATACAATCTACCTTTTATACATTACCTCAACTTGTAGATAGTTGGGATGGGATAAGCTTACTTCTAAATAAAACAAAAAGTGTTCTCATCTATCCTGCCCACAACATAGCATCTGTCCCCAACCCAGGAGAAACTCCGAGAAGCAGCGAAAGCCAGGCTGCGTCGAATGATGCAACATCACAAGACTAAGGTTGCATACAACGTGCCAGAATGGGTTAAGGAACAGTGGAAAACAAAGGACCAAAACTATTTGGCCCAGCTGCTGATGGATGCGAACTGGTCAAAGGACCCCATGGGCTCTGAAATGTTGTGGGAGTCCAGAGTCCAGCGTTTTTTTTCCAATTCCGTACATCATGATTATATGATGCAGTTATCCTTATACATATCAATGTTTTCTGTCTGTAAAGTTTCTTTCACACATGTCGTTCTGAAGTCCAATCCCTCCAACAGGAGGAGTTCATTTGCCAGCTGGAGATTGTGGTCACCAAAAAGAAGGCAATGACCATTCGGGTTGACGAGATCTGGGCATCGGAAAAGGAGATGAAAGAGGACTTGAAGTGGTCCCCGCCCCTCAGTTAGAAATCAGTAAACACACTTATATATATACATTCTTTCTTGTAACATACTAATATATATGCTAATCATCTATTCCACCGAACCTCCCGGACAAACAAATGGGTTGCCCGACCTGGGTTTCCTCATTTCTTCAGCTGGTTCATCACCTAAGGGCACGCATTGCGGGTGCGAAGAAGGATTGCGAAGCCAAGGGTGCCACACACTGCAGGTGCTTCTGTAGAGCGGCAATGTTGAAGGTTGATGTGATGATATATATTTTTTATTGGTTGGACTGATCGTATTTCAACATCATAAAATTCCTTGCATGAACCTATGAATTGATAAATAATTGATCTTATCATATGTATATGGCAAAATTGGCCCAGTATTAAAACTATTCCATGCATGTTCCTGCCTCATGCACAGGAAGAACATGTACGACAATGTGGATGAGTACTACGTGATCGTCAAGGAGACAGGGTCCCGCGAGGAACAAGCCACCCAGGAGGAAATCCAAAGGAAGATTGGCAAAGCCACTCAGCTTCCTATATATATATAAAAGGTACTATGTTCATTCCACATAACATTCCAATTTTATACAAAAAGACATGTTGCATGGATTCTCCCTAGGCCAGCGACACGCCCAAGATTGATGATGACGGCTTTGCTGGCATCGATGCCAGACAGGCTCAGGTCGACGCTAGCAAAGCTGCTGCCGCACGCCCACAGGGAACACCTCAGCTCGCTCAGGAAATGGAGGTGCTTCTTTTGGGATGTTATCTGTCCATGTCCAATGCTTTAAGAATCACTACATGTTCAAATTGTTATTTGGAATTGAGTCGTACATATAAACACCATGAAGGTTTCTTTACTGTTTTATCCAGTTTACGTGGTTTCTGCCCTGCTCAGACCCGGGACAAATTGAAGCGTTTCCTGGACAGCATTCTTCAAAAGGGCGGCAAAATGCGATCTCTGGTACGAGAACTCAAAGATAAGTACTCGTCCTGTGATTCCACCAGAGGGTGTCTTGACTATCTTATATATAATATATATAATGATTGAAACCCATGCATCGCCACATCCAAGTACCCCCAGAAAATATATCATACCTTTGGGGTGTAATCATCTTGGGGATGATTGGCGTTTTGAACCTTAACCCCATCCCCGCTAGATAGCGATCATCAAACCAGGTTTCAAACCAGATTACCTAATCTTAGCTCAGGTATGTCGCCACTTTGGAAGCTGCCTTGAAGAACTTGGATGAACAGTATGACAAGTGCCATGCGGCATTTTCGAATGGAGAGGTCCATGCGTTCAAGGGTGAGTTCCTTGACACTATCAAAAATTAGACAATAAAACCTCAAATTGTCAACCATGCGTTTCGCTGGCAGCCCTCCAGAGCTTGCCCAGGTTTGTGAGCAAAGCGACGGCTTGCATGAAAGAGGCTACCCTTGTGTGGGGGTCCTATTTTCAAGTGGTGGATAGCCATGGATATAAAAGACTTAAACCAGCTCAGTTTTACTTTCGTCGCCTTGTTGCCAAGGTGCAGCAAAGCATGCGCTGCGGAGATGAAGATCAGGCTGGACCTGAGCTATGGCGTTTGCCCAAAACATGACAACCAGTCCTTTGTCACTCGTGCTGTATAATACGCCATGTCTAGAGAACGCAGGAACGCGAAGAAATATGAGAAGCGCGATGAGAAGCCCAAGGAGGATGAGGGGCCCCGAAAGCCACGTCGTCGTCGTGGGGAACAGAAGGTTGAGCCAGTTGAGGCCCCAAAAAACAAGAGGGCAAAGAAATAGATGTCAGGTTTCAAATTTTTCAAATTTGAATATGGGAAGCGCTTGTGGGAACCTTGTGTCAGATCACAGGGAAGAACCTGCTGCGCATGGCCGTGACAAATTCTGTCCAATTCAACCTGTGACATATTTTGGAGAGTTGGGAACTTATCTCACGATGACTGGCACATGTGTGCATTGTACTTCAAATCCCTAGTCAACACTGACCTGCAGTGTTTGGAAGTAAGTCTTGCGACCGTGCCTTACACTACAATCAGCTACATGTGGCGCTGATGCCGCTCAGGGGGGTTGCTGGAAAAAGGGTCTTCAAGCAGTCACATGCAATTGATGTCAAATCACTTTGCGCATCTTACAACATACCCCAATTTTTTTGAGATTCCTACCCTCCCATCTTTTTACACCCGGGGGACCAAGGGCATCTTTCTATCAACTTGCCAAACAACATGCCAGGTGCCGGGCAAGCTCTTCGCATCGTTGCTGGAGACATTGGCGAAGGAGCCCTGTCCCCAGACAGAAGTTGAAACTGCAACGCTCTGAGTGTTCTGACATTTGTCTCTGTGAGTGGGGTCCAAAATCTTGGCAGTTGAGGCCCAAATATTTTAACATGTAAACAAGTCCAATTGCCCAAACCCAAACGAATAGAATCCTTGTTTGGTCATTCCAAGACTGTGGTAAATTCTATTAGCCGCCCAACTTGACAAAGTAGATCTGATTTTAACACATGGGTGTAGCAAAAGTCAGCTGATTCCAGCTCATAGCGACAGAATGTCCAGCCTCTGCGGTGAACGTTGCCATGGACTGGACGAAAGTCCTGAAGAATTTCTCATGGATTTGTTGACGTGCCATCGATCTGATACTCGGTTTCCACAGCCACCAGTTGTATTACAGGGGAAAGTTTATAATCATTGAGGTCTTGATTATTTATTGGGGTCCGTTTATGTTGAAAAATGCAATGCACTAACCACTGCAATGACCATATATTTCATGATTCCTTTTCTTTTGTTTTGTGGCCACCACCCAGGAATCAGAAGGGCCATTCCCATACCCGTTGTGGAAGTCTACGGAATCCAAAAATGTGTCCAATCATCCGACCAACAGAGTGGTCTCAAAGGCTCCAGTGAAGACTTCTACAACAGTGGACCAAGTAAAACGTCTACCCCTGAGCTTGCAATCACTCCCAGGCCTTCAGGACATGTTCCATGCCAACGAATGCATTGGCTTCAAGTTGCCACCCCTATATGCAAATGTGGGTGCGGTATTTCGTCATGCTGTGAAAACTGTGGAATTACTTCTTCAACGTGAATATCCTTGTATATTCAAGTTGGGGTACACCCACAATGCATTGTTTCGTTGGGAGAACCCAGCGTATGGTTATGCGTTGTCACGGGACAAGTGGAGCCACATGTACGTCATTTATATAACCGACGAACCATACAGCTGCGCGATGCTAGAAGCAGGGCTGATTGAAAAATTTCAAGGAAACTTATCTTATTTCAGTGTTTTTCTGCTTAAATGAATTCGTTTTTTTAATACGCTGTTTAGTTGGTTTGTTGCCGGAAATACTTCTACATTGCGCGCTGGTGCAAAATTGCACCACTCAGGTAAACAGAGCTGCAGAAATGTTCGAGCTGGCGGAGACAGCATCGATACGCGACCCTCTGACTGGAATGCAAGCATGGTTTACATAGTGTACAGATCGTTCAAAGTAAAACCTACTTAGGTACACGGGGGTAAGGCTTTGGAATATAATATGCATGTCTATCCGGAAAACCCATTTTACTGACGGTTTGTATCATTATTACTAATATCAAATATGACCATATGTGTGGTTCATGTATCACGTTTCAGCTCTTGCCCCTGCATGGACTACATGTGAGAACTTGTATCTCGTCCAATTGCTGTGTGCATTTACACGGGGGTTGGTGCGCCACATTTGCGCTTTCACTATTGCGCCAAGGCATGTCAAAACAATGCGCGGCGGAAGTGCTGATTGTTGCGGATGGAATCAACTAACGCACACACACACACACTAGTTGGAGCAATTGGGAAAGTTGCATTGGTGTTTCCAACAGCGTTCACAGGATGCACACATCATGCTCACCAAACATCAATCCAGTTTGCAATGCAGAGTTTCCAATTTCATTCTTCCATTGCTGAGGCCACATCATGTGCGGCCGCCATTAGGCAAGCGAGAGGTGTGGTAGCTGATATTGGGGAGGAAGCAGCCAAGAAAAGTCCTGGTCTTCCCGAATTAGCCCGCTGCCAGCAGTCTACGTCAGAACGTGATGTCCGAAGAGTTGTTGTGAAATACCACCTGTCGGTTCCAATTCCACTGACCCAATTGCGGAAAACCCCGGGGACAATGTACCAGGGGGAGATCAATGTGCTGAGCCTCAAAGATTGGATCACTTACATTGTTCAGAACAACGTTTGGCACCTACTGGTAGGCCTCATGAAAGCTGATGCCATTCGAGAACGCAAAATCTTGGTAGAGTTCTGGCGACGCTATAGACAGCTGCGGCCTACGCACCCAATTTTTGAAATGTCTGATGCTGGGAAGGTGGACTTATCCCGCTGTGCACCATGTGTGGTGCATGGCGACGAAGGACGAGGCAGGAAGAAAACTGGATTCCTCGTCATATCCTATTACAGCTACATAGGATTTGGAACTTCTCAAGCAAACCAAGCGAGGAAAAACAAAGAGTACTTGCGGATGAGGCTGAACTACGGGGGCAGTTCTCTTCTTCACCGTCTCTTGACGGCTGTACTTCCAAAGATGTTGAAAGATGATGTTGCTCTGAATGACATACTCCAGTTCATTGGGGAAGATGCCAGAGGCATGCTTTTGGAAGGTGTGAAAAATGCTCAAGGTGACACCTTCCGAGCCTGCATCCTGCAGTGCTGTGGACATTGGCAATGGTTGATCAAGGCAGGTCATTTGGTGCGTTCCTACTTGAACGTTGAAAAGCGTCCCAAAAAGGAGGGCGCAAACCCCAAAGGTGTTTGTCACCTTTGTGCTGCTGGGCAGACTGGCGTGTTTTGGGAACGCTACCGTGGGCTGCGACAACCTCTTTGGTTTCCTACCATGCTTAGCCAAGACCCATTTGGCAGTCAATCAGGTTTGAATCGAATCCCCTTTTTGCCAAACCAGCAGCCGCTCTTCTACACATTCGATTTGTTTCATTCTTGGCACCTCGGTGTCGGGAAGTCGCTGGTGGCAGGATGCCTAGCAATGGCGAGCGAGTATATGTGGGCTTCGAATGTCGATGACCGACTGGAGCAACTATCAGGTCTTTTCATGACTTGGTGTGCTGAAAACCATGAATGGGCTTTTTTGAATTCCTTGACGCGACCAGTTCTGGGCTGGATGGACAAAGGCCAATACCCCAACGGGTATTGGTCAAAGGGGCACACAACCACAACCCTTTGCACATTTTTTGAGTCGTGGGCTCGCCACCAAGATTTCTCAGGTGATACCCTCATGCAGCTTTCTGTGGAAACTTGCCAGAAGATGAGCAAAGCCATGCGTATCATGTACGAGTCCGACGTGTTTCTCCCAAGGCATGCGGCTGGAGAAGTCGCAGCCCTTGGCTTGATGACCATGGAGTGGTACAAAAAGATTGCCACCCAAGCCTTCCGGGAGGGTAAGGCACTGTTCCCACATATGCCAAAAGGACATAGCATTGATCATATCTTCCACCAACTGCAGATGGATGTTGAGTCTGGAGCGGAGTTCTGCCTCAATCCGCTGAACCATTCGGTTCAGGTCTCAGAAGATTTCGTTGGCAGGTTGAGCCGTGTGTCGTGGAGAACATCACCTCAACAGGTGATAACTCGTGTGCTGCAAAGGAATCTTCAGGCAGTCTATCGCCAATGGCGGGACCATGGGTTCATCAGGGAGTAAGGCAGCATGAAGCGGTGGTTGAAAATGTGCTTGGTGCACGCGCACTTGGATGGTAGCCTTTGGATTGGTTTTATTCTCGGATAGGTCTTGGTGAATTTGTTTGTGATGTTTGGTTGATGATCTGTGCAAGTTGTGCTGTCCATGCAAGGGGCAAGCACTGATATATAGAATACATGCATTTGTATATGCAGTAAGATGTATATATGTGCGGGTTATATCTATCATGTTGGATTTCAATGAAACCATCTGAAACATGGAATCCCAGGAATTCCAAAACCCCGGGTTTTCCGCGAAGACCCCGGCTTTTAGTATGGGACCTACGTTTTTAAAGGTTTTAGATTTTCAAGGTATATATATATATACATACATTGGTATAATGGTGTATCCTGATTAGTGTGGTGGGTCGCTTTTGTAGTTTTTTTGAAATAATTCAGGATCAGGGTAAATGATTGGGTGGGTCGGTTTTGTAGAATTTGTTTTTTGGTGTATTTTTCAGTGTTTTCATTTTTCATTTTTTGTTGTAGTTTTTAAAAAACAAAATTACTAATTTTGTAGTTTTTTGTTTTTTTCATGAACCATATTGATCCTGAATAATGTGTTTGTTGTGGTGGCCCTCTATTGTGTCCGGCTGTTGTTGAAGAAACATTTTTTTAAGGATAATTATGGCCCATCAGCAATAATTAATTGATTATATAGGATGCCTTATTAAAACCCTATTAAAAACAGCACTCAAACAATTTTTCAAGGGGGTAGTCCATGAGCAACCCTGGTCCTCAATAGTATGTTTGTTGTGGTGGTCCTCTATTGTGTCCAGCTGCTGCCTAAGGTGAAAATTTTCAAACATGCCTTTTACATGTTCCTTTGCTAAAGTTGTTTTCTTTTACTTTCTTAGTTTCATTTAGAATTCTCAGAAATGCCCAATTTCCCAAAATATCTGATGCCTTATTAAAACCCAATTAAAGAAAAAAACAGCATCCAACCATTTTTCAAGGGGGTAGTCCATGAGCAACCCTGATCCTCAATAGTATGTTTTTTTGTGGTGGTCCTCTATTGTGTCCAGCTTTTTTTGGAAGTATTTTTTTCCAAAATCATTCTCTCCTTTCCTTTTCCTTTCCTTTGCTAATATTTTTCTCTTTTTCCCGAATGCGTAGCAAGGGTTCCCGTTTCACTCTGGGGGTCTGGGGGCTGAAGGTGTGTTCGCTCGACGTTGCGTTTACGTCCGCGACCGTTCGCAACCGTCCGCAACCGTCCGCAACCGTTGCCTGGAAACACCCAAATCCCTTTTCATCCGAGTGGACTGATCAATGTGCCCAGGAACGCCGCGAAACAAATGAAGCATGGCACCTCTGGCTTGACCGTGCCTTTAATGTCTCATCTTGCACCCAGCCATATACGCCTGCATCCTGCGCGGTCCTCCCGGCCCACAGCATGACCGAGATCAAATCTTTGCGCAGACGCGCCCCATGCGCCAACTGGTCGCCGCTGCTGATGCCAACGGGTAGACCCATGATGCCCATTCCCATTATGAATCTTGCGAGGCCACCCTGGCCAACATGGTGGCCGCCAAGCGGACTGCCGCGCTTGACCATTGGCGTGCCCGTATGCGAGACATGCAGTGTGCAGCCCGCTGGGTCCGGCACAGCGATCTGCCTTCCCCTTGTTTCCTTAACAGCGATGGCTCCCCTGCCATGAACCCCAAAGAGCAAGGTCATGCCATTTCTAGGGAGCGGATGCCTCGCTGGACAGAGTCCCCAGAGGCTGCCTTGCCTGCCCAGCTGAATCAGGCTCAAGTATTTGCTGCATCCTTAGCATCCGAGGCCACCCCATTCATGGCTCCGCCAGTTTGCAGCTTTGCGCACCAGCGCGGCCAGTTTGGATGGTTTGACATTTCAACACTTTCGGAGTTTAGACCAAATTTATCTACAAGCCCTGGCAGATTTTTTCACTGCCCTGGACCTAGGCATGCCACTCCCCAGTTCCTGGTCACAAGTCCGGCTGGTGTGCATCCCCAAAGAAGACGGAGGTACCCGACCCTTGGCGGTGCTCCTCGTTGTATACAGAATGTGGGCATCCCGGGCAGCCCGAATTTTGGCTGAGTGGTGCAAACCTTGGTTCCTTCCACAGTTGATCGGAGGCCTGCGAGGCAGCCCTCCTGCTTCAGCCACGGCGAACTTAGTTTCAGCTTATTTGGCTTCTGCCTATTCTAAGAAAGAATTTCTTGCTGGCGCTTGCCTGGATACAGTCAGATGTTTTGATTCCATCAGCCTATATAGTCTCGAATTGTTGTGCAATACATGCCACGCCCCACAATTTGTCTTGAACATCTTGCAACGTTAGCATACCCTGCAACGGCACGTTTGGACGCCAGATGGGCCCACGGGAGTTGTCATTCACCTTACCAGACAGAAAGGCATGGGATCCAGTTGCCCCATGGGCATTAAACTTGGTCATGGCTGCTTGGATCCGGGGCCTGCCATCCCTCACATTATGTCGTGTTTACCTTGATGACAGCTGCCTGCTTGACACACGTGTTGCTCGCCTGTCTTGCGCCCTGGATTACACCAGTATCTTTGATGCAGCATTCGGCATGTCGGTACACCCACAGAAATCATGTAGATTCATTCTACACTTGGCATACCAATGAAGCATTTCAGGGATCTTGGCGCGCTCTCCCCCTTAAGGGAACCTTGAAATATCTAGGTGTTCAACTTGAAACCACGGCCAATAGTCCATACATGATAGGCGCTGCCAGGACCGCAGCCCTCACAGCGAAGATTGAACGTGCCCGCCTCTTGCCGGAGCCCAATGTCCGCAGAGCACTTCTCGCTAGCTACATGTCTGAACTGTATGCTGAAGGTGTAGGCATCACTGTTTCGACTGCCAGAAAGTTGACCGCAGTTGTTTGTCAAGCCTGGTTGGGTCCCACATTGCACCCAGAAATCATATGCGTAGTGAGTGTTGCCATCACTCTTGGCCTCCTAGGACCCTTACATAGATTAGCACCCACCATAGTCCAGTGCTACAATATCCCTACCACCTTAGAATAAAAATTGAGGGGGGCGTACCGTCTATGTTTTGATTTTTTCACCAAAAAAAGTAAAAAAAACACAAATAATGGACTTTTAATATTTTTTTGAAACATCCAGATCATAGTGGATATAGGTTGTGTGCGTATATACATGTATGGTAATATTGGCAAATGTTGATATATATATATAATAGATACTGATATTCTTCATAACTCCCCCCCAAACATTAAAGGGCCATAAATAATGATGAAGCCAAACGTTGCTCCGGAGCACTCTGGACACTGGGTTTTGCTGAACAAATTGCTTGATTGAAAACACATAAACTGACTGGTGTGGCGAGCTCCCCCGCGTACTCTTGTCAAGCCACATGCTGGTGCGGGTTTTCGCGGCATGGCAACAGGTCCCAAACATTAAAGGGCCACAAATAATGATGAAGCATGATGAAGCCAAACATTGCTCCGGAGCACTTTGGACATTGGGTTTTGCTGAACAAATTGCCTGTTTGTAGTTATCCGTATTTGCATTGTCTATATTCTGTCAATATGTATTGAACCTCTTTCATCTAGATAAAACTATTGTTGGGATGATGATAACGTGATATTAATAGGATGATCATTCATTAGATGTTTTGGTGGCCGTGGGATAATTATCAATGATATATGCAAGGATGTCTTGGATACGTTTGGGCTGGAAAATAGATTGGTATATCTTGGTATTCAACAATGTATTGCGCGTTGTTGTCTTATCAAAAATATGGACCACTTTGCATTGATACAATAGTTTAGTATTGTTTTGATGGAAAATCTAGGCCTGACTAAGAATTTGATTTTGTCTTGCATGAAATGACTGTATGGGATTTAGTTTGCGTAATGCAATCAGGCATTCTGCACTTAAAAACGAGGTGTAATATGATATGTTCTTCTAAAGTTCTGCAGTATCCATCAGGGAGCCAGGTGGGTGTGAATGGTTATGAGTCGACTATCTGGACGAATCTGGTAGAGGTATTTTGCGATTTTGCGGGGCAATTGGCTTTTCAAATGTTGGATTTGGTATGTTCAAAATTTCAAAGGACAATCTGCCAATCTTTGATTTTGAGACAATCTGGGTCGTGGATTTCGATTGGAATTTAGCAAGCGCAAAAGGGTGACCTTTTGGACCAAAAGCTCGCCCCTGGGATATTCTGCTATTTTTTCCTAGCAGAAGATTATCCCGCAGAATATCCCAAATGGTGACCTTTTCGTCCAAAAGGTCATCCCTGGAGATATTCTGCACCTTTTTTTTTGCAAGTCCTAGCCGCAAATTATCCTGCAGATTATTCCCAGGGGTGACCATTTCAAACACTAAATCATTCATTTGCATTTCATACACTTGTCGCATAACAAAAATACAGTTGCTGGTATTACTACCCCCCCATCAACATATTTTTCATAGGGGGTTGCGAACTATGATGTTACTCCATCTCCTGGAATAGAGTTGGCATGCGGCATGTGAGGGCCAAACAGCCCTGCTTGAAGACTGAAGCGGAGAGTAGCTAGCATCGAACTAACTGCGCGGTTCTCCAATCTGGATCAAGAAGTCGCGATGCAAGGCGCAATGCAGAGTAACTAGCATCGAACTAACTGCGCGGTTCTCCAATCTGGACCAAGAAGCCGCGATGCAAGGCGCAATGCAGGGCGCGATGCAAACATCTTTCGGATAGAATCTTTGGGTACACCCAAACCGTTGCAGCCCCGTGGTTCAGGCGGATTCATCAGTGGCTTTCTCTTCCGCAGCGTCAAGCTGCCTGTGGCGGCCTCAATATTTCAGGAAACCTCTATATAACATTGGGGTGAAGAACCGGGCAAATGTTCCCTCTTAAAATCTGGCTGGGCATGAGCTTCTTGAAACAGTGATTCCATGGGGATTTACTAGTTAGTCACCACCTTTGTCCAGGACTTGTTGCAGCTGCGTTTCTTACGAGCTCGCCATGTGCAGGCGATCCTTGACTGCAGGGGCGCCGAAGTGTTTTGTTTGGTTCAATGGGTTGGGTTCTACAATTGCAAATGAGGGCTGGAACCGATTTCTTCATGGTTCAAGTTGGTGGACCTATGTTCAACTGTTTTGGGTATGGCATGTCCCATCAGCAGGATGTGATTCGAAATGCTGCGCTGAGATTTTTGCAAGCACTCTGTGTCTGGGGTCATATTCCCAGTCCCAATCCCCTGCATTGATCCATTGTATGGCTGACAGCCTCCTAGAGGCTGCGTTGACGACAGAACCAAGCTTGATGAATGATTTTCAATGATGTGCAATGTTGCCATGACATGGAGAAAGGCGCGAATCCTGATTTTGCCGAACGGCTTGATTTGCGCGTTGGTAGTTAGGCGCGATGTGCTGCGGGCCGCTGAACGCGATGCAAAGCGGCTGTTCCATGTGGACCTGGACCACGGCCGCATCAGCGCCAATCAAGGTCATTCCAGTGCCCTCGCCGAGGCCCTCGAGATTTGCGGATTCTACCATTTCTCGTCTAGTTGGTGTCCTCTTGTGGCTGGAAGCTGCTGTTATCATGCATCCGTGGGCAGGTGCTGTCAGATGAGGCCTTTCTGGCGCCGATTGAGCGGGCAGAGGAGTTGCCAGTTTGCATCTCGTCTTGCACTTGTCCTCACCAGGTCTTGAGAGTTAGGTGCACGGTGGAAGCAGGTGCAATTTAGGTGCCATCCAAACTATGGTTCATACTACTTTCTTTACCATTTTGTCTGACGATGGTGATTGTGAAGTGAATTTGTTTGGACAGTGGGAGAAGTATCTGCATCGCAAGCTTGGAATTTGAATTGACACCTTGCTTTCTTAAGCTCGCTTGCTGAGATGACGGTATCAGAGATGCAACGATCACTTGCTGTTGTGTTTGCTGTAACATCCTTGAGCGGTAATCACACAAACGAATTGTATGGCCTGGTTTTGAATTTCAAAGATCAGCCTCATTATTTTGGTGGAAGCAGGTGCAATTTAGATGCCATCCAAACTGTGGTTCAGACTACTTTGTCTACCATTTTACCTGACGATGGTGATTGTGAAGTGAATTGTCTGGGCAGTGGGAAAAGTGCCCGTATCGCAGTCTTGGAATTCGGAATTCGACACCTTGCTCGTAACTATTCCCCACATTGACGTGTGGGGTTTTTGTTTTTAGTTCTGTATCCGCCTTCCTCCGCCTCCCGCCTGCGCCTCCCGTCCTCCTCTTCCCTCACCCACCTCACTCACTCACTCACTCACCCACCCACCCCACTCACTCACTCACACTCTCAACCTCACTCACCCACCTCACTCACCCTCACCCACCTCACCTCACCCACCTCACTCACCCACCTCACTCACTCACCTCACTCACCCACCTCACTCACTCACTCACTCACTCACTCACTCACTCACTCTCCCACACACTCACACTCCTCACTCACTCACACTCCTCACTCACACCACACTCACTCACTCACACACTGACTCACTCTGACTCACACACTGACTCACACACTGACTCACACACTGACTCACACACTGACTCACACAGTGACTCACTCACTCACTCACTCACACACACACTCACTCACTCACTCACTCACTCACTCACTCCCCTGCTTTTGCGTGGCAGGCATGGGACAATGTGCACCGCCAAGGGGTCGGATGTACGCCCTGGCGTCCCTCCGGTGCCCCTTGGGCTCCGCCGCTTGTGCGTGGCAGGCGTGGGACAATGTGCACTGGCAAGGGGTCGGATGTACGCCCTGGCGTCTCTCCGGTGTCCCTTGGGCTCCGCTGCTTTTGCGTGGCAGGCGTGGGACAATGCGCACTGCCAGAGGGGTGGATGTACGCCCTGGCGTCCCTCCGGTGTCCCTTGGGCTCCGCCGCTTTTGCACGGCAGGGGTGGGACAATGTGCACTGGCAGAGGGTCGGATGTACGCCCTGGCGTCCCTCCGGTGTCCCTTGGGATAGAGTATTTCTTTGGGAATTCTGTGAGATTTCTATGAGGTTTCTTTAGAATTTCTATGGTGGTTCTATGATCGAAGGAAGTTTAGAAGTCAATATGGACAGATGAAAAGCAGAGCAGGGAAGAGGCAGAGAGAAGAGAAAGATTAGAAGAAAGAAGAGTAAGAAGAAAGAAGATGCAGATGCGTGAAAAGGTAGGAAAGTCGCGAAACACTGTGTTTTTCCAATGATTTGGGGCTCCGGAGGGTCGAAAAGTAGGCTCGCTAAAGCGGCGGGTGCGGAGCCAGCTGGCCAGATGAGAGATGAAAACTTGCACGCCGTTGTGGCGCGAAGCACGTTTGAAAGTCAAAATGTACAAAACACACCATTGTCGGACCACTTTTGGAAGTTGAGATGTCGAAAAAGTGCACGCCGTTGTGGCGCGAAGCACATTTCGAAGTCAAAATGTACAAAACACACCAGGTTCGGACCACTTTTGGAAGTTGAGATGTCGAAAAAGTGCACGCCGTTGTGGCGCGAAGCACATTTCCAAGTCAAAATGCACAAAACACACCAGGTTCGGACCACTTTTGGAAGTTGAGATGTCGAAAAAGTGCACGCCGTTGTGGCGCGAAGCACATTTCGAAGTCAAAATGTACAAAACACTAGGGGTTCGGACCACTTTTGGAGGTTCAGATGTCGCTGCGCTTCGCTTCGGGTCACTACACTACACTTTACACTCCACTACACTACACTACATTACACTACACTATACACTCCACTACACTACAGTACATTACACTACACTACACTTCACAACACTACAACTACAACTACAGAACTACACAACTACACTCCACTACACTCCACTACACTAAATTACACTACACTACATTACACTACACTATACTCCACTACACCTGCATTACACTACACTACCTCCACTACACTTCACTACATTACACCCCACTACACTCCACTACACTACAACTACGACTACACAACTACACTCCACCACACTCCATTACACTAAATTACACTACACTACAGTACACTACACTACACTACATTCCACTACACTCCACTACACTACATTACACTACACTACATTACGCTGAATGACACTGCACCGCAGATAGACAGGTAGACAGATAGACAGATAGACCAGGTAGACAGATAGACAGATGAAAGAGAGAGAGAGATAGATAGATAGATAGATAGGGTAATTAGATCAAAGAGAGAGAGAGAGATAGATAGATCGATAGATAGATAGATACATAGAAAATAGATAGGTAGGTAGGTAGATAGTCAGAGAAAGAGAGAGCAAGCGTGAGAGAGATCAAGCACCTTTCAGTCCATCAGTGGCTTCGCTCTGCCATCCCTGATTCACAACAACCAGCCTCTCCTATAGGTTTCCTATTTTTGAAACTTCCGCCACCGCCTTGCGCGGTACTACTGGTATTTCTATGGGATTTCTATTGGGTTCCTGTGGGGTTCCCATGGTATGTCTATAATATTTCTCTGGGAGCACTATGGGATTTCTATGGGGTGTCAATAGTATTTCTGGGGAGTTCCTCTGGGGTTTCAAAAAGATGCCTATGGGATTTCCATTGGGTTCCTATTGGGATTTCCATGATGTTTCTATGATATTTCTAGAGGGTTTCTATGGGATTTCTGAAGGGATGCTATGGGAATTCTATGGTATTCTTTTGGGATTCCCATGGGGTTCCTATGCGATTTCTATGGATTTCTATGATGTTTCTATGGGATTTCTTTGGGATTCCTATGGCATTCCTATGGGAGTTCCATGATGTTTCTATGATATTTCTATGGGATTACTCTGGGATTCTTGAAGGAATTCTATGATATTCTTATGGGATTTCTGTGGTTCCTACGGCAGTTCCATGATATTTCTATGATATATCTATGGGATTACTATGGGATGTCAATTGAAAGTAAATCGAAATCCATTGAAAATAAATTCAAACTGAATTGAAATCAAATGAAAATCCATTGAAAGTAAGTTGACATCAATTGAAAATCAATTGAACGTAAATTGAAATCAAATGACAGTCAATTGAAATTAAGTTGAAATCAATTGAAAATCAGTTGAACGTAAACTGAAAATAAAATTAAATCTATTGAACGTAAATTGAAATCAATTGAAAGTACATTGAAAATCAATTGAAAGTAAATTGAAGATCAATTGAAATCAATTGAATAAATTGAAATCAATTGAAATGAAAGTAAATTGAAATCAATTGAAATGAAAGTAAATTGAAAGCACATTGAAAATCAGTTGAAAGTAAATTGAAGATCAATTGAAAATCAATTGAAATCAATTGAAAATCAATTGAAAGTCAATTGAAAGTAAATTGAAAAAAACAATTGAAAGTAAATTGAAATCAAGTGAAAGTAAGTTGAAATCAATTGAAATCAATTGAAATCTATCAATTACACACTATTCAGGCTCGTGAACTGGAAAATTTCCATATTAAAGAGGATCACAAAATTGTTTAGGGGGAGGGGGGGCCCTACACTAATCAGGATACCACATTATTGGATATATTAAATATATATTGTATATAAGATATTTGAAGAAATTGATAGATATTGGATATTAATATCACGATATATCAACAGGATTCGAGATATATTGGTTGTGATGATTTCCATTGCTTCGAAAAGGAGGGAAATCAAAAGTGAACCGAGGCGGGTTTGAACACGCAGCACGGAACGTAAGTCACTCGACTTCAGGTTCTCCTGGTGCGAAATCCGAGGCACGTGTCACTGTGCAAACTCAGTGCAGATGCGTGAGAGATGATAGCTGTTGTTGTGTGGATTGTGCAGCCATTTTGACAACATTTACTCCCAACTGCCCAAGTCGTGGCGAAATCCCAAAAATCTTGAAATTAGCTTGGGGGAAGGCTTTTGTGGAAGTCGTGGCGATGCGGCGTTTAGCTTGTGTTTAGGGTAGGTTGCTGTTTTACTATCTCATGTAGACCTAAAGTGGCGAAGCGGCGTTTAGGTTGTGTTTGGGGTAGGGCGTTGTTTAACTATTAGCATAGTGCTTTAATCTTGCTAGTTGCGTTCTCATTGAGTTTGGGATGGTTGCTGTTGGGTTCTGCAGCTACTGGGGTCTTGCTGTTGCTGCGGCTGCTGGTTCGACGGCTGCTGCTGCTGCTGTTTCCGGGTACTACACAACGCTGGGATTATCATCTCTACACGGCCATGGCGGTGTGCTGGGATTCTGCAAATTGTCATTGTTTCGCTACCAGTGATCCAAGGAAGGGCAGGTTTGCGGCTTGCAGGCCAAAGTCCATGTGTGTAGATGCGGGGCTTTTTCCGTACCTCGTTTTGGACCTCGTTTTTTTCCTTTATCAGAACCCATCCTGCAGTATACAAACTAGGAAAAGGGCCTGCTTCGCGTTTTTGTTTGTGGGCGTCAACAGTGCCCACGAAAAAAGGCCCGTTGGAAATCGGCGTTCCGATGGGATTCGATCAAAAACGAATAGAACCATGATAGTTTGGTCAAGGCTTGTTAAAGCTAGCGTTTCCAATGGGGAAAGGGGTTTTGCAAGGTCTGTGCCGGGACAGGGGTCGTGGCGAGCGTTTTGATTGGGAATAGCTGTCAAACGCAAACATTGCAAGGACTTTGGCGTATGGGTGTAGCATGTCAGCGGGCAGTGTCTCAGAAGACGGTGAAAACTATGTGGTTTCCTGCAAAAGGGTCAGAGATTGTGCCCGTTTTGGTTCACGTGAACTGGGCGGTGCCAGGAGCGATGTTTACAAGCGACTTTGGTGTGTGCCCTGACTGCACAGCTCACATGGCAATTAAAGAGGACGTTTCTGTCCTTCCGCAATTCCAAGAATCGTTTGTTCAAAGGAAGGGAACTCCTAGAAAGCACATGTGGCTGTTAAGTGTGTGTGTCGTGTTTTTGAGCGGTTTCTGAAACATCAATTGCCTCCTTCTCACTTTGCCAATCGACATCCAATCTTCAACGGATCAACCACAGCGGTCTCAACTTGTTAACCGACCGAAACCTGCGGCACACTGGACAGGTCTTTGAGCTCTTCATAGCCTCGAGCCACTCGAGCTGAGATGGAAAGAACAATCAGACAAACTTGTGGAAATTGTAATTGCCAAACCACCGACTCAATAGTAAAATTCCACAATAGTCCACGAATTTTACAAAGAACCCTTGTTCATACCATTTCCCAGCTACAGAAGCAGCTACCAGAGTGTGGTCATGAGTTCCGATCAGTCGGACCTTAAGTGGACCTTAAGTCAGATCATGTCAGATCAATTCTCGCTGCATCTGCATCTAAGACCTTGGTTTCTTGGACCGTGGAGCTCTACGTGTACATGGGGCCAATGTGCCAGGCACTTCTCGGACGGTGGAGCTACGAAACTGTAGCACCTCCACGGAACAAGACAAGGACGGAAAGATCTGGATCCAGGGAGGATCAATTTGGAGGATGATGGAGGATGATGGAGGATGATGTCCCAAAGTGATATGAACTAACTAAATATGGAAAAAAACGATTTAAACGGACTGAAGATAACCAAAGGATGAAAGACTTTGTTTGCATGTTGATGGAAGATTATAAAAGATTATGGAAGAGTTGGTGTTCAAATGTTTCACACTGGTTCCAAGAATATCCAAGGCGTTTCTGTTCAGCATAATTCTTCACGACGCAATTCCAAGTTGTTTCATGGAGACGATAGATGGAGACCATTGTTTCCGACAGTTTGAAAGGATTTGCTCAACATGTTCATATCATTACGATTGTTGCTCACTCATGACCTTATGCGACCCTGTTTTGATCACCACTTGCTCTACAACCGCATATATCAGTATCGAAGCCCTAGCATTCAATCGCACTTGTTCCCATGTCCACGTGACCAGGAGTGGATCTTCTCATATTTTCAGGAACATCCAGGTTCCTGGGAAGAAGCTGAGAAGGTGGCAAGCCATGTACATACCACGTTCTTTCGATGATGTGCTCGAAATCGATTCAAAAAAGAAGCTGCGATATTCAGTGCAGATTTGAGCCGAGTTGCAGTTGGCTGGACCTGGTGTGGAAGATGCAAGCCGCTTCAGCTTAAGGCTCAAGCAAAAGGTGGAAAAGATGAAAAGGTCGTTTCACAGATTGTCACAAACAATTCAAAGTAGCAACGGCAATTTCTCAACACGCATGCTGATCATGCTGCATGCACAAACTGACCCATCCATATCGACAGGTGCATCAGTCAAAACCAAGACAAAGCAGCCACCGGGAGCAGGGGATGCATTCTTGCTGAAGGTGCTCAAGCATCCAGCAGTCCTCAACATAGCGTTGCCGCTGAGGTTGAATTTGTCGAATTTGCCAGATATTTTGAATTGCTTTGAAACTCGAGAACACCCCTACATGCCTTTGACCCATGGATTTTCTTCAGTGAAAATGCTGTGCCAACCAAATGGTGATGTCGCAGTTCTTCCTATTCAGGAGTGCCAATGCCATAAACAGCTGTAATTGACGGCATGTTCAGCTGATCTGGCTTTAAACGGACAAATATTACGGCCACTTTCTCCGCAAAATACGTCATGCACCACACTTTACACGCAACATGGGGGAGGACAGAGGAACCCCAAAAGCTTCCCACAATGTTTTTCCCAAAAACATCTTCCATGCTTGGGTTCTGGTTTAGTCTGTTAACCGCGTGGGGAGTGAGCATGGTTGAACACTGAAGGACAGAAAGGAATGGGTGGAAGGAAATAACAAAGAAATTGATAAGGGAAGGGACTGTGGGGAGATGGGATGGTGGACAAGAGCATGGACGGAGGGAAATGGGTGGGAGGGATGGAGCGCGCAGGGAGAATCTGGACGGCAGGGAGAGAAAAATGGGGGGAGAAGAACGGCGGGCATAAGCGAGTGACAGGGGGTCGAAACCCCCCGAAATGTGGCGCCAGTCCATGTGACGCGCCAGGGACTCAGATGCTTCTTTTGCTTTATATATAACATTATACATATTTTATCATATAATTTTTGTATATAACTGTAGACTCACTGTAGACCGCACATGGGTCATGAACGATGCATCCCGTCTGAATGGTGTACGGTTTTTTGACATTTGAATATGGCGGGCCAGGCCGCGAGGCCCAGGAGATAGATGGAGGTAGTATAAAATACCACTTCGTATATTTACATGTAATTATCCTATGTTTAGATGTTTGTTTACATGGCCAAGCGGGCCAAGGAAAACCTTCCCGGAGGTAGTCGAAAATACCTAAAAGAAAAACGTATTTTTACATGTAGTTATCGTATCTATGTATGTCCGTATGTAGGAGCCATCATCTAGAAGAATACCCTACTCCGGGCAAGATAGATAGACAGACAGATAGCTAGGTAGATAGGGAGGTAGACAGATAGATAGGTAGATAGATAGATAGGTAGATAGGTAGGTAGAGAGAGATGGAGAGATAGAGAGATAGAGAGAGAGAGAGATAGAGAGATAGTGATAGATTGGGATATAGGTTGATCCATCAGTCAATCGATAGATAGATCTACACATAGATAGAGACATAGATAGATTTAAATAGGAAAATACATACATGGGGGTCGATTATTTTGAACCATAACCATGTTGTGGCCACGTTCAAAAAACATGGGAGACTCTTGGGGTTCTTTTGGCCTCCCCCACGCCACTTAAGTATTTGCGGAGAGAGTGGCCCAAATAATGTCCATGTCAAACATATCAAACCAGATCTGCAAGTGGGCACCCCGGGTCCCGGCCCATCTCAAACAGCAAAAATGTTGTAATGTGTTTTTCCCTAAAGCATTTAATCTCGATGGGGTTATTATGTAGTTTCAGTTCATGTTACTGTACATCATGTGTTGCATGGGGGGGTATTTTTGTGTTTATGTCAAGCACACCAGACATAACGGACATGCCATTATTACGCCCCTTGGGTTAGCGGAGTTGTATGCAATAGTTTTTCAATCCTCATACCTGTCAACGACTTTGTGCCCAGGTCTGACCAGTTGGTCGCTGTGGATTTCTTCACGCAAAGGCGATTGGTTTTCATATGGCAAAACTTGCAAAACCATAGGTGTCAATAGGTTTTTTATATCCAGATGCTTGAGTTTCCCACTGATCTGTTTGCTATACCACGTGCCACTGTATCCACTGTGGAATCGAGTTAGATACTCAATGTGATCTCAATGTGACTTGTTTGTGTTGTCAAACCACGTCCGATCGTCAAATGCCCTATGCTGGATCAAATTGTCATCGACCGAAGGCGACCATGCCTACACATGTGAAACAATATGGAGATCCTTGCCTGTGACGCAGACTGCTCTCAAATTTTGGAATAATTTCACTGTAGCGGAGTTTGAGTTGCTGACTTGAGAGCCCGGAAAGGAAACCAGAATTAAAATCATTGTCACAACGTCACAGGAACTTTTGCGTGTTGAGAGTGCGCTAGAACCCAGGACTGAAGCTTCGCAAAAGCCGCCGACATTGCACTGTTGAAAGCAAGGCAAGTCAGATTAGGGAGCCATGCCAAAAGATCCAAAAGTGAAAGTCTCTCGTTGAATCTCCATCCATGTTTTGATCAAATTATGTGTTTTTTTTTAATCACCATGGATAGCTGTTGTGTTTTTCCATTGCACCCATCGATCCAGTCATCGAATCGATGATTCTAGATCTGTGGTGCCTTCACCGCAAGGCGAAGCGCGACTCTGGGCAGCCCAGGCAGCGCCGACTGCCAAACACTTTAGGTTCTTTGAACACACATGGCAATGATGCTGTTTGAGAGTTGTCGACATGATCGTGGGCCTGTTGTGCAAATTCAGACTTGCTGGTACCCTTCAAACATCTTCAAAGATCTTCAAAGATCTTCAAACAATCCCATCTGATTGGCATTTCACTTTGGCATTCGGAGCAACCTCACCCGCTCGGCATCGGCATCAGACCATTAGATCCACCTTGGAGGAACATGCTATGCCATGCTATGCCATTAAAACTGCCAGATGCAAAACAAGTACTCTGAGTTTGTATCCTACACTGAATAACATGTTCCTAAGGTTTGAATACGAGCTCTGTCCAAATCCATATTGAATATATTGAGAACAGGGTAGCGCTAGAATCACTTTGGTCAGTGGACCTCACAGGATGAAGCTGTAGAAGAAGAGCCGCAGATGCTTCACGATGCTTCACATTCCCATTGTTTCACAGATTCCGAATTGAAGAATTCGTGAAGAATTCAAAAGTCGAGTAAAGTCGAGGATTCAAGGTTTTTGGGAGCGTTGCAAGAAATCATAAGAAATCTATTGAGAGTGGGAGCATTGATGTTGACATATGTTGACCAGTAGATTTCTCCTGTTGATTTTCTGATAACATGTGTCCTCCCAGGTTTCCCAAGTTTCTCTCCGTTTCTGTTTTGGTCTCAGGACACTGCCAGAAGTCCCAGAAGTCTCCTCAGTGCGACGAAGCAGAACTCACTGGAGGGGTTTGACACTTGTGGGACTTGTGGGATCTTGTGGGTGTGTCTTGGTAATAACCCATTGATAACCCGTATAGTTACCGAAGTTACAGATCTTCAAAGGAACTTTAGTTAACAAAGGAAATCTAACCAGCAAACTGCGGAGTTACGCACACATGTCCATAATCAGTTTTCACATGGTTTCACATTATCATGTCAACCACAGAGGGAGAAGCAGTAGTTGGGAGGTTAACACAGCAGTAAGTGGAAACTAGATGTCGGTCTAGGACTTACAGTTTCTTGTCCCAAGCTGCAGACTCTGAAGCAAACAAAAAAATGGTCGCACTGACGTCACACTTTGCTTTGTGGCAAATGTATTGCGCGCTGTAGCTCCCATGTTTTCCAGATCATTCGATATCTTTCGAGACATAAAAGTCATAGTTTTGCCTCGATTCAACTAGAGGCGCCAAAGCCTTGCACCAACTCCCAACTCACCGACTTGGAGCCGAACACATCCATCAGTTGAAGCCTCAGCATGACACGATTCCTCCATGTTCTCGCTATCGATTGATGTTGCTCGTGTACCCCAATGACATCACAGAAGCATCATGAGATGGTGATGAAATGGAAGTGAACGGTAACGAAAAACCATCCTGCGTCAGATTGAATGTGATCAGTGATTGCATTGTTTTGTTATGTGTTGTTATGGTACGTAGTGCATAGCTTGATAGCTCATAGGAATAGGATAGAGTGATTTCTTCTACAAGATACAGTACGTCTTTGGCAGTCCTTGTCCGTTTGAGTCTGTCTTCTTGAGTGCAGAATCGACAGCAGTAGGTAGGATTTTCATGGATTAACGTGGCTGGGGCCTGGCCTGGCTTTATTTGGTTTATCTACTCATCCCAATGATCCTGCGGTACATGGTTCGAGCCAGTTTCAGAGGCTAATTTTTGAGCAACTCCGGCCCACTTTTAGTTTTTGGTGGCCATGGTGCGTGGAGCAAGGAAAGCTGTTGCTGTGGGAGTTGCGGTGGCTGTTGCCTGCAGTGTCCAGCAGCACTTGAATTTTGTGCCTGGGCCTCGGCATGCTGCTCCAGTGGCCGCAGCAGCAGCCAGCATGATGATGGCTCCTGCGGCTTTTGCTGATGAGATCGGCGATGCTGCAAAGAAGCTTGGAGATGCTTCCTACTCTTTTGCCAAGGAAGTGGATTGGAACAATGGAATTTTCCTCCAGGCCCCTGGTAAGTTTCAGCCCTTGAAGGCGTTGAAAGCAATTGACAAGATGATCGAAATGGGGGCAGCCGCAGATCCCAAGCTTCTCAAAGAGGCAGCAGAAGCACATCACAAGGCCATCGGGAGCATCAGTGGGCCAAATGGTGTGACTTCGCGTGCTGACTGGGATGCCGTGAATGCAGCCCTTGGCCGTGTAGTCGCTTCGGTCCCCAAAGCAAAGGTCATGGCTGTTTACGATTCAGTGAAAGACATCACGGACTCCAAAGTGCCAGCTTACATGAAGTCCTTGGTGAACGGACCCGA